TTACACATAAGTCCAAAAATCTCACCATATACAACCTTGAAGCGGGAGTGTCCCACATTATTCCTTTTCCTGTCTCTTGCTTTCATTCACCACCACCTACTTTTTGAACAACCATCTACCTGAGAGACATCACAGTAGCAACTGGCATGTCATGATAAGCAGCACATATTCAGAAGACCAGAATGACAGGCACTCCAAGCATGAAACTATTATTACAAATTACCATCTGAAGTGCAGTAGTTTAGTTCACAGGTATCAGTATATATAGTTAGTCAGGGTGAGAATCTTTCCAATGAACTGCTAGATTCAAAAATCTTCTGGACATTCTCAGGATCATTGCCTTGCCCATCTTCTACACATAACTGGATGGCTTGACTTACTCATGTTTCCTAGCTCTTCTCCTTTCCCTCTCTTAATTAGTTAGTCCTTGAGATCCTGCTTTCCTTTTACTTGTATTATACCTTTCTATTTTTTATTTCTTCTTTGGAGTTCTTATACTAGGGAAACTATACAATATTTACACATGTGTGTCTGGTTTATTTCCCTTATGAGTATATGTTCAAGTGGCATCCAATTCAATATAAAGGCTTTGAGTTTATCATTCTTAATAGCTGAATAATACTCCATTGTGGAAAAATACATTTTTTTCAACCATTCCTCAAGTGATGGGCATCTTGGTTGTTTCCAAGATTTGGCTATCACAAATTGTGCTGCTATAAAAATAGGCACACATATATCACTACGATATGATGTTTTCAGATCCTCTGAGAAAATTCCCAGTAGAGGAATAGCTGGCTTAAAGGGGATTTCCAGTCCAACTTATCTAAGGAATCTCCATACCGATTTCCATAACGGTTGCACCAGACTACATTCCCACCAGCACTGGAGAAGGGTTCCTTTTCCCCCACAGACTCTCCAACATTTGTTTTTGGGTGATTTCTTTATGATAGCGATTCATTGTGGGGTGAGATGATATCTAAATGTGGTTTTAATTTGCATTTCATGAATGGCTAGTGATGTGGAGCATTTTTTCATATATTTATTAGCTTCTTTAATTTGTTCCTCTGAGAAGTGTTAGTTCCTCTCAGATGCCCATTTCTGGATTGGGTCTCTAAATTTTAGGGCCCTAGAGTTTTTTAGTTCTTCATAAATTCTAGAGAGCAGACCTTGTCTGAGTACTTATTTCTCATGATCTTCCAAATATGTGGGTTGCCTTTTCATTTTGTTGGTAATTTCTTTTGACGTGAAAATCTTCTCAGTAAGAGCAAGTCCCAGTGGTTAATTCTTTCAACTGTTTCCCATGCAATTTGATTTCTGTTCATGAACTCTTTGCCTACCCCTATAATTCAAGAGTTCCTCCCACTTTCTCTTCCAGGAGATTTAGTATCTTTGCTTTAATATTTAGATCTTTAATCCATTTTGACTTTAGTTTAGTGCATGGGGATAGACCTGGGTCAAGTTTAAGTTTTCCACATGTAGAGAGCCAGTTTTTCCAGCACCACTTGTTGAAGAGGCTATCTTTCTTCCAGTGAGTATGTTTGGCCTCTTTTTCAAAGATAAGGTGCTAAGTGTGTTTGTAAGGAATGCAGCATCTTTTGATCTATTCCGTTGATCCTCAGGTCTATTTTGATGCCAGTACCATGATGATTTTATCACAGTAGCCTTGTAGTATAATTTCAAGTCAGGAATTGTAATGTCTCCTACCTTCTTTTTATTCCCTGAATTGCCTTTGCTATTCTAGGTATATTCTGGTTCCAGATAAATTTTAGTAATGATTTCTCTATGCCTGTGAGGTATGTTGGTGGTAGTCGGATAGGAATTTAATTAAATCTGTACAGTAATTATGGGAGTAT